CAAGGCTAGTTTGACATTCAAAAATCAGATAATGTAATCTACCACATCAAAAGGCTAACAAGGAAAATCATATGTTCGTATCAATTGATGCAGAAAAAGAACCTGACAAAATCCAGTATCCATTCATAACAAAAACAACTTACAATGGATCATAGACCTAAGTATAAAAGGTAATACTGTAGAATTTTTAGAAGAAAATACAGGCGAAAACCTATGTGACTTTGGATTTGGCAATGAGTTCTTAAATATATTAGCAAAAGCAGGGGTGCCTGGGTGGCTCAGCGGGTTAAGCATCCCACTCTTGGTTCCGGCTCAGGTACTGATCTCAAGGTCCTGGGATCTAGCTTGGCTTCAGGCTCTGTGCTCAGCAGGGAGTCTGCTTGAGGATTCTCACCCTGCCCTCTCTCAAAATAAATTTTAAACAAACAAACAAAAAATGTGAAATGCATGGTCCATGAAAGAAAAAAATCAATATTCATGACTTCCTTAAAATAAAAAACTTCTACTGTGTGCAAGATACTGTTAAGAGAATGAAAAGACTAGTCACAGATGGGAGAAAATACTGGCAAAACATATATCTTACAAAAGACATATCTAAAATACGCAAAAAAATACTTAAAAACTTAACAATAAGAAAACAATCCAGGAAATAGGCAGAAGATCCAAACAGACAGGTCACCAAAGATGACCCACAAATGCCAAATAAACCCATGACAAGATGTTCAACATCAGCTGACACCAGGGAATTTCAAGTTAAAAGAACATTAAAACAACAACAGATCCGGAGAAAGACAACTATCATATGATCTCCCTGATATGAGGGAGAGGAGATGCAACATGGGGGGTTAAGGGGGTAGGAGAAGAGTAAATGAAACAAGATGGGATTGGGAGGGAGACAAACCATAAGTGACTCTCAATCTCACAAAACAAACTGAGGGTTGATGGGGGGAGGGGGGTTGGGAGAGGGGGGGTCGGGTTATGGACATTGGGGAGGGTATGTGCTATGGTGAGTGCTGTGAAGTGTGTAAACCTGGCGATTCACAGAACTGTACCCCTGGGGATAAAAATATATTATATGTTTATAAAAAATAAAATTAAAAAAAAAAAAAACAGATCCCACTACACACCTATTAGAATGACTAAACAAAAATTTTTTAATTGACAATACTAAATGCCGGCAAGGATGCACTGCAACAGGAACTTCCATTGATGATGGGAATGCAAAATGCCACAGCACCTTGGAACATAGTTTGGTAGTTTTTTTTACAAAACCAAATTTGTACTTTCAACACACAATCATACTCCTAGGTATTTACTCAATTAATTCGAAAACCTATGCACATAGAAAACTTGCACAAGAATGTTTAGAGCAGCTTTATTAAACCTTAATAGAAGCAACTAAAATGTCCTTCAGTGGCTGAACAGATAAACAGATTAACTATGAAACATCTTGGGGCGCCTGAGTGGCTCAGTCGGTTAAGCATCTGCCTTCAGCTCAGGTCACGATCCCAAGGGTCCTGGGATGGAGCCCCACATCAGGCTCCCTGTTCAGCTGGGAGCCTGCTTCTCCCTCTCCCTCTGCCCCTCTCTGCTGCTCATGCTCACGCGCTCTCTCTCTCTCAAATGAATAAATAAAAATTGTTTTTTTTTTTTTAAAGATTTATTTAATTTATTTGACAGAGATCACAAGTAGGCAGAGAGGCAGGCAGAGAGAGGAGGAAGCAGGCTTCCCGCCGAGCAGAGAGCCCGATGCGGGGCTCGATCCCAGGACCCCGAGACTATGACCTGGGCCGAAGGCAGAGGCTTAACCCACTGAGCCACCCAGGCGCCCCTGTTTTGTGTTTTTTTTTTTTAAAGATTTTATTTATTTATTTGACAGACAAAGATCACAAGTAGGCAGAGAGGCAGGCAGAGAGAGGAGGAAGCAGGCTCCCTGATGAGCAGAGAGCCCAATTCGGGGGCTCGATCCCAGGACCCTGAGATCATGACCTGAGCGGAAGGCAGAGGCTTAACCCACTGAGCCACCCAGGTGGCCCTGAATAAATAAAAATTCAAAAAAAAAAAAACCAAAAAACCAACCTATGAAACATCTCTAAAATTGAATATTCAGCAACAAAAGAAAATGAGCTAAGAAGCCATGAGAAAGACATAGAGGAACCTTAATGCACATTGCTAAGTGAAGAAAAACTGTCTAAAGGGACTATATGACTATATATGACTCCAATTATATGACATTCTGGAAAAGACTAAACTTTAGAGACAAGAACATGATCAGTGCTTGCCAGGAGTTTGGAGGGAAGCAGGATGAACAGATGAAGCACAGGGGATTTTTAGGGAAATAGAACAATTCTGTATAATACTGTCATGGTAGATACATGATACTATGCATTTGTCAAAAACCATAGAATTTTATAGCAAAAAGAGCAAACCTTAATATATGCAATTAAAAAAAAATTCACATGGAGGGTTGGGGGATCCCAGGAAAGAATGCAAACTGACAAGGGAATCTACCTGTATCACAGATGTATGAAACAACCTCACTGAAGGGATGGGAGGCAAAGGCACAGACCTAAGTAACCAAGGAAATGAGTGGAGCCTATTCAAGGAAAAGGAACTACACATAAGCACTGTACTTTTAATTGATAGTTTTCCCCACGGAGTATGGTCTAACAATTCAAATACTGCTATATGCGTATGCTAAAATTGGATGGTAGATGGTAGGAGTCAAGTTTCTTTTCTTTTTTTGGTGGTGGTGGTGGGAGCAGGGGGGGAGCAGGTTTCTAACTGCAGCAGTAAAAATTTATTAAGAAACAAAGGGAGGCTAGAATGATCCATGTGGTAACGGATTAGAACTGGAGTAGTATGAACTCATGTTCAGCCTAATATAGACACCGTGGTTACATATAAAAATATTTAGGGGCACCTACTGGCTCAGTCTGTATAGTACGTGACTCTTGATCTCAGGGCTGTGAGTTCAAGCTCCACCTTGGGCTTAGAGCTTCCCTTAAAAATACAGGTATTTATAATATATGCATGGGTTACTATTCACACGTATGTTTCTTTGCTCTGTCACTGGAGAGGGCTTAAAAGACACGCTTACCAACAGTACCTCTAGGAGTGGGGAGTTATGCTCCCCCAACCTAAGGGCCAGGTTTTTATATAAACTGAGCAGGAGCTACAGACAGGGCCAGAGACAGGATGGAAGGGGAAACATCAAGGACACCACTACAACAGGAGAAAAGATTGAAGACTCGGTAGACAAGTCAAGAATGGTCCCTGCCTACTGGCAATGGTGCTAATACTGTAAAAACAGAAGGAAAAAGCCAGCAGGAGCATGCCCACCTCAGGTAGAAATTAAGGCATCTGTAAGCAGACTCATTCTAAGTTGACATTTGGCACCTTTACTTCTCCCGTTTGTGTGTGTTCTGAAGGGGCGGAAACCCAGAGGATTTACCCCGGGTGTAGGCTCCCTGAGGCACCCAGCATGAAAGCCTACTGCCACAGCCTTAGCAGGATCTGTTAAGTGTGTGGAGAATGAACCAATGGGCTAATAAGGATGGCAAAGAGCACTGTGAGATGAGTCCCAAGCGCCTTATAAGTAGGTGACTGCATGTGGTCACTGGACCCATTATTAAACAGACCACAGACGCTGGCCTGCAAGAAAAGGGACCTTCTGGGGGCGCCTGGGTGGTTCAGTGGGTTGGACCTTTGCCTTCGGCTCGGGTCAAGATCTCGGGGTCCTGGGATCGAGTCCCGCGTCGGGCTCTCTGATCGGTGGGAGGCCTGCTTCCCCCTCTCTCTCTGCCTACTTGTGGTCTCTCTCTGTGTGTCAAATAAATAAATAAAATCTTAAAGAAAGAAAGAAAGAAAGAAAGAAAGAAAGAAAGAAAGAAAGAAAGAAAAGGGACCTTCTGTAAGGGTCTGGGTATACGGCCTCAGCCACATCTCTGGTTCCAGGATGCTCCCCTGGGCCCAGGGCCATACACCTAGCTCTGCTCTAGGAATGGGGAAAGTGGATGCACAGGACCGGGGAGGGCCCAGCGCGGGTCACACCGGTGAGTCGGGAAGCGCGGCACATGTGAGAAGTTCGGACCAGGAGCCATAGACTTGGTTTCGAAACCAAACTCTGCCATTCTCTGCTTCGCGTCACTTAGCCTCCCTAAGCCTGTTCCCTCATACAAAGAAGTCTCCCGACTTCTTCACACGGTGGTCAAGGAATCAGATGATAACGTGTGTGCATACAGTTGGCCAACAGGCAACTGCTGGACCAGCGGTTCTCAAAGCGGGGTCCAGGGGCACCTGCGCGTCCCTGAGACCCTTCGAGATGGCCTAAGAGGTCTTCCTTTTCCAGCTAGCGTCTGCCTGGGCCCAGAATCGCTTTGTAAACGTCCTCCACGACAGCTGATGAGACTCCAGCTGTCCTTTATTAAACCAAAGAGATTCTCAAAAATACAAAACCACGCCTCTTTCACTCCATCTGTGTTAAAATGTTACGGGATTGTCATTTGTAAATGAGTGCTTTTTAAAATTCGGTTTTAATTCCTCACACCGTAAAGACGGACAAATACAAGAAAAGCTCTTCGGGGTCCTCAGCAATTTTTCGGCAGGTAAAGGGGTCCTGGGACCAGTTCCGGAGCTGCGGCGCGAACACACCGGCGGAGGGGTTCTCCGCGCGCGAGCCGCCTCTCACAGGCTGCCTCCAGGACCCTTTCACAGAACAGCCGCTCGTCCGCGGTTTCCACTTGTGGGAGAGACTCGTCGTGGGCTCTGGGGCTGCTACACCGAATGCCTGTACCCATTTCCCCGGCCCAAGCAAGGACCCTCCCACAGGGCGGCACGCGCAGGAGAGGCGACCCTCGCGGGGCGTCGGCGACCTTGGCAGAGGTCGAGCCGGCGCGCGGGAGAAGCGCGGTGCTCCCGGCCGGCGGGGGGTGGGGGGTTCCCGGCAGGGACTGGAAAGGCCGGGCTGGGTGGCGGGGGACTTAGGGACCTGCACTCACAGCCTCGGCAGCGCCGCCGCCGGCGTTCCATGTGGCGCTCTCCACAGCAGACGCAGCGCCATCTTCCTGACGCGCGCGCCCCGCCTCTGTCCTGTCCTTCCTCGTTTCGCCACGCCCCCGGAGTCCCGCCCCCAGGTGGCCCCGCCTCCGCAAGCCCAGCAGCGCCGCGCCCAGTCCCCCGCAAGCCACGCCCCCTGCCTAGCGCACCTGTTCCCGCCCGGAGCTGGGGGGGGTCTCTGCTGTCAGAAACTTCCCCGCTGTCACCGCGGGTAGAGCCGGGGCTTGGAGTGGTTGAACACTTCTTGAGCGGTTTTTCTGATGACTGAACCCGGTTTTCTCCGTGCTTCTGGGTTTTTTAAGGCGACTTTGAGAGACTTTGCATTTTCCCAACCAGAACAGGCCAAATTTTCTAGGGATTAGTTGCTTTTATTGTTAAAAGAGCTGCCTAACAAATTCGTGAGCCTCCCCATCTGCACGCCTCAACAGTTAATCCATTATGGGACATATTTGCTTGTAATAGGATCAGAACTGCTGTGGGCAACTTTGTGGGCCAGAGAAATGCTTGCTGAAGACTCGATCGGCAAAGACAACACTTCACTCTAACTCCTTCCTGTCAGTTTTTCAGCAAATACAACTCCTGCGGCTTACCAGTGGGGGGACTGCTGAGGTATTAAAACAGACTTTACTAGCTGTGTGACTTTGGGCAAGTTACTTGGGCTCTCCATGCTTCAGTTTCCTCCTCTGTAAGGTTGGAATATTAATAATACTCACCTCATAGGTCTGTTACGAGAATATCTTGAGTTAATGTATATAAAGAGCTTAAAATCTTGCTGGCCCAGAGCAAGTGCTCAGTAGCATTAATTCTCGTTATTGACATCATCATGTCCATTCCCTTCTTGAAACCCTTTGATGGCTTCCATTGGGAAGCATTTGGAATAAAACCCAAGTTCTCCACCACAACCCTGAAGGAAGGCCTTACAGGATCTGGCCTCTGCCTATCTCTCCAACGTATTTCAGCCCCACATTCTTCTTTCCACTTTTTTAAAGTTCACTAAGCCATCTCCCACTTCAGGGCCTTCCCACATGCTGCTCCCATCCCAAGAATGCTCACAGCTACACCTTCTCATCCTCCAGGACATTTAGACTCTTTGCCACCTGAGCATGCTCAAAGAGGCCTGCACTGACTATCTGAGTGTCCTCCCAAACTATTTCACCACCAACAGCAACCTGATGGTTTCCATCACAGCCCTCATCACAACATTTGGGGATTTGAGAACTCACTTTCTTATTTGCCTTTTCCTTGGTGGTTCTCAAGGTGGGAGGGAACTGCTGCCCACTGATCAAAGGGGTGGGCTTTTAGGGTATGCTATGGTCATTAAAGGGGCAGGGTTTAAGTTGTGTGACAGTCCCACTCCTAGAAAGGCAGCTAATTCTCAGGCCTAAAAACACCATCTCTAGGAAAAGACTGTGAGTTCTTTGAAAACGAGGACCTGGTGTATCTTGTCAGTGCTGTGTGCCCCCAGCACCTGGGTGAGTGACTTGTAACCAGTAGGTATTTAATAATTATAAAATGAAAATGTTCCACCGGCCTCATTATAACTCCAAGAGCTGCCATATGAGTAATTATCTTTATTAAAAATGCCCTGGACCTCATGGCTTTTTAGGTAAAGTAGGACCTCCTGTGACTCATTTGCTGATTCAATATCTTTCAGATTCTGCTTGAAGAAATTGTAGCTATGCCCATTCTCACCAGGACATCTGTGGTTTTGTTGAGCTCCTTCATGAGATTACTAACTCATAGGTTTTAAGGACTGTTTTCTAATTTTTGTATATTTTAAAAATAAAGCTTTATTAACTTCCCGTATTTCCGAATATAATAAAGAAAAGAATCGAGAGTTCCTCCTGTGAGGCTGGTCAAATCTGGTTTTATTCACAGCCTCCAAACTGAAATAAAAGTACATGTTTGCCCCAAGGACATTCTAAAAATATGAAATTTAGCAGAGACTCATTATCCTGTTGAATTAGGCAATCTGATAGGGTAAAAACCTTGCAGAGATCTGAGAAAGAAGGGGCCAGAAACAGTACCTCTGGAGCATAATAAGCTCAGGGGTGGCAAGAGTGGGGACTAGAATAATGAACCAACACTGATAATTATTGAAACTGGGTGGCTGGTACACAGGGTGGGAGTGGGATGGATTACACGTTCCTCGCCTTTGTGTATGTTGGAAAATATTCTTAACAAAAAAATTAAAATAAAAATCAATTCAACTAATGCTTAGCATAGAAAGAGCCAAAGGCAGATTTACCCGAAGCCAAAGGAGGTTAAGCCTCAGGGCCCCTGGCTTGAACAGACCCCTTATAGGTCCCTCCCAGTGTGTTCACAGGTCATTTGTCTTTGTAAAAAGTATAAAAGTGAGATATTTCTCTGTGCATTCCAACTTACCCTCCCTCAAGCTTTTTGTGGGTGTGTTGGGTGGTGGTGGAGTGATTGCAGCATTTAAAAAAAAATTTATTCATTTATTTAAGTAATCTCTGCACCCAAAATGGGGCTTGACCTCACGACCCCGAAATCAAGAGTCACGTAGTCTACTGACCAAGCCAGCCAGGCGTCCCTGTGGCTGCAGCATTTGGAGGATCCAATTAAGTGGAACTTGAGCTGGGATATATTTCGCTTAGATTTAGTAGAATGTGTTTATGTGATTTTTTTAAATGAATCTTATTTATTTTTTAAAAAGAGTTATTTATTTACTTATTTATATCAGAGAGAGAGAGAGAACTCATGAGAGTGGGAGGAGCAGAGGAGGAGGGAGAGAAAAGAGGGAGGGAAGCAGACTCCCCACTGAATGTGGATCCTGACACAGGGCTGGATCCCAGGACCCTGAGATCACAACCTGAGCCAAAATCAAGAGCCGGCTGTTTAACTTACTGAGCCACCTAGGTGCCCCTATGTGATTTTTTGAAAGATTTTATTTTTACATAATCTCTACACCCAACATGGGGCTTGAACTTACAACCCTGAGATCAAGGGTCACATGCTATACTGACTGAGCCAGCCAGGCACCCTGGGATTTATGTGATTTGCAAACACTTCCAGGTTTAGTTATGATTAGCTGTCCAGGTTTAGGAATGCTTTCCAGGAATACTGCTGTCCAATGTGCTGTCTTACCTGTGTAGACATGCAAGGCCAGAGGTCATGTCCCAATGAAAATATGCTGCTAAGGCATCTGACCCAGAAGCGTGTGGGTAATAGAAGAGACAGTTTGAAATATATGGAGCCAGAGACCATCTGTGGTCACCAGATACATAAAAGTACAAAGAGAATGTTTAGTTCTTATCCGTATCTGGTCAACGTGGAAACTCCTGTCTGGGGTACATTCTAATGGCACTGTAGTGGCTTGCACAATGTTGACTCTGCTCGGCTGGAAACACTCCTCCCAGAACTGCTTTGCCTGTGTATTTCCAGGTTGAGATCGTTCAGCAGAGACATCTGCGTGAGATCTGGCAGGTGGAAGTGAAGCAGCAGGTCCGCGCGGTACCAGGCACTGCGGCCATGCGTGCAAATGCCTGTGGATCGGCGGTCCACCTGCTGATATGGGGCTGTCTGTGCTAACTTCCTCCCTTTTGAGATTGTTTACAGATCTCATTCCTTTACATTCATATCCACCTCGTTTTTTCAACTCAAACAAATTTAAGCATTTATTGAATGATTCCTGACCTCAAGAAGCTATCTGAATTCAGAAACGTGCTGCAACATGGATGAACCTTGATAAACGAAATAAGCTATACACACACACACACACATACACACACACACACGCACACACACATTGTATGATTCCACTTTTAGGAGTTTCCTAGAGTAAATCCATAGAGACAGAAAGTGAGGGTTGTCAAGGGCTGAGAGGAAGTGGGGTGGGGAATTACTGTTTAAGGGGCACAGAATTTCAGTTCTACAATATGAAAAAAGTTCTGGAGATGGATAGTGGTGATGATTGCACAACGGTGTGAATATTCTTGCCACTACTGAGCTACGTACTTAAAATGGTTAAAAATGATAAATTTTATGTTATGTGTGTTTTACTACGATTAAAAAAAGATTTATTTTTTTTTTTTAGAAAGAGAGAGAGTGCACGCGTGCATGCTCATAAGTGTGGGAGGGGGCAGGAGGGGAGGGGAGGGGCAGAGAGACAATCTTAGGCAGGTTTCACACCCAGTGCAGGGCTCAAAGCAGGGCTCAATCTCACAACCCTATAACCTGAGCCAAAATCAAGAGTTGGACATTAACCAACAGAGCCACCCAGGCACCCCAGGAAAAAAAGATTTTAAAAAGAAGCAATTTAGTCTAGTGAAAGAGGCGGGCAGGTGAATGGGGAAAACAGGTAGGTCCTGAGGTCTGTTGGTGACACAGGGAAAGGAATACAAAAACAGAAAGAATCCTGGAATTTCCTCTGCTTGAGACAGGCGGGACAACCAGGGGACTTTGCAGAGAAGGGGATAACCAGCTGGGACTCTAAATGTGTTAGGGGAAGGTACTGCCTGGGGCCAGACTAGACCGCGTGAATGTTCATGTCTCAACCAATGTTGCCCTAAAAAATACAGGTCTCCTGAGTAGAAGTGCATTACATTGTTACCTCTTGGTCTTATAATTGTCATGAAACTCAAATAACTTTCCCTGTTAATCTAAGAAACATTGGGCTTTTGTATTGGCTCAACTACACCTTTGGCAAATAGTCACACCCCGGGAGATACGGATGAAAATATCTAATCAACCCACAATTTACCGTAACCATTTAAAGCTTAAATAACCATTGGAAGCAGTAACAGGAAAATGAAGCCACATTATTTTTTTTTTTTTTTGTTATAAACACCAAAGGCTCTTTATCATAACGCATTTTTCCTTTCCTTTGGTGTCTGGCCGATGTAGGTTATTTTCACCAATGTTGAGTCTCAAAGGCTGAAGGGCAGTGCCACTGGTTTAAGACTTCAGAATGCTGCACTTAGAAAGAGACATATTAGAAGTTCTGTGGAATGATTTTCCACAGTGGCATAGATAGAACTACGCTCTGAGATCATC